ATAATTCTGACTACGACAAATTATACATGCGGCGAATTCGAGATTGTGACAAAATTGCGTTTGCGTCAAACTCAATATAATGTTTGAAGCGTTTGCGACATGGGGCATGTAATCCGGATTTTTACGTTTCCAGAATATAAAATTGAAAACTATTGATCTGGGACAGATAACATACCTAATACTATTAAGGTAATGTTATGTGTCTAGTTTAATCAAAACCGATTTGTTTTTTATATGTGTGTTAAAATTATCTGTAGTTTTAATATAGACATTTCATCATTTGTACCTACCCCGTTTTTATATTTATTATTATTTATTTACTATCAGTAGTGTACTGCGATAACGCGTAACAGGGGACATAATCGAATGTCTTGTTGTTTGGTAATCTAAAATTAATTGTTTAATTACTTATTTTCCCACATTAGACAAAAATGTCAGTCTAAATTTGACTTACATTTTTTATTATATATTTCGATGTGATAAACTTAAAAACTTTTAAATATTAAATGGTCGGTCGTCCAAGTTTGAATCTAGGTTATTGAAATTATCATGTCTATTATGCAGATAGGTATCTAAGCTAATTTATGTCTGTGTAACAAGAACAAGACCTGCCTCACCTGTCCGTGTCTGCATAGAAATTGACTGCGGTACCTAAATATTGTTTTAGCGTCATATTGCAACACATGTAGTCTACGTTTCGATTTTGTAAAAATCTACGAAATTCAAATAGAGATGGTACAATGGTGACATATAATATGGTTATGTATAATAAAAAAAACAGTAGTGTGTTATTGTAGATTTTTTACTTATTCTCTTTTATTTTTAATCTTAGCTAATAGAAAATGTCTATAAATTTATTTTCATATTATTGGTTAATAAGTAATTATTGAGACTTTGGCATTTCTATAGATTAACCTAAGAACAGAGATTCCAATTCAGATCATAAGCAATAAATGGAATCAAAATGGAATGACTAGGCAATTAAATTGTATTTAATTATTAAACGTCTGTGCCTAAACTATATAGTCCTAAGACCTTAAGGCGGAGAAAGGGATTGTTAGTAATGGGGAGGTTAGTCCCCATTGCTATCAATATACCTCATCAGGTCGACTATCGTGACTAATTTATCGTTCAATTCGTCACGATGGACTAACTGACATGCCTTTTTATTCTCATCTATCATCTCGCACTGGTGCCCCGCCAGTGTATACCGATAGCGCAAGCGGAGTTACCATTCCATTGTCATCCATAATTTTTTTTTATACAACTTAGAATGGCAAACAAGCTGACGGCCCACCTGATGGAAAATGGTAACCGTTGCCTATAGACACCTTTAGTCAGTAACATATAATTAAATATCTACTAAACGTGACGTAAACGTTTGCGTAGTTTAATATTATTGATAGTATTCGTATAATTACGTTCGTATAATTCGTATAATAACATACGTGGTTATTCTAGTAGCTGCGCTTGCTGAAATTCGAATCCTTAACTGAATCTACACTATAACCGTCGCCGCTTCTAGGTTTATTATAATTTGCGCAACTACAAAATCGTCGATTAACAACTTACGTATGAGAACAAAAACTAACGAGCAGTCACATGCAATATATTATGCATTACACGGAGTTACGCGTACCAAAGTGAATAACCAGAAATCACATGGCTCGTACCTATCGTAAGTCGTTAATATTCTAATGATATTGCAACTGAGGTGTCATGTTATGCATCGAGTTTATTGTTTCAAACAAATACTGACAGAGTAGCCTATGTGCATAATTTAGGTCCTATGCAATATAAACCACAATAGCAATCTGAAACTAAGATACCTAATATCCAATCCAAGGTATAAATGCAGTAGAGTATAAAATAATATAAAAAGGACGAAAATGTTTTATTACTTTAATCTAATTTGTTTCGGATTAGTTTCCAGATAAGTCGATACGTCATGATTGTAATTTTGGCACCAGATCCGTTTGATAATGTATTAAATACGATAAGAGTACGTACAATCATTAATAGATGTTTTGAACACTAGGGGGCACCGAGGGGTGAAATAGCTCTTTGAATACCTAATTGTAATTTTTTAAAGAAAATTTCGATAGATAAATGGGCAATCGCACGAAGACTTTTCACAACCTAAAAATTCGTGAAAGGAATCTGTAATCAAAATGTACGAGACCATAATGTATAGCTTTTTTAGATGCTAGTTTAGTTTCTTCTTTATGGAACTGGATATTACAAAAGTTGACAAAAGGAACTGCAATTCTTTCAGAGATGGCGAGGGTCATGTTCTGAAACTGTGAAGCCGAATACAATTTTTTTATAGCAATAAATATGGAAGCTTACTTTTATAGACTTAGGTATCTAAGTAGGTCTATGTTTACGTCTTGATCGACCCCAATTGGAAACTGGCTAACTAGAGTACTCTGGGTTATAAGCAAGCTGGTGTGATATTTTTAGTAAAAAAGGTTATTTTGTAAACAAATATTTTTATTATATGTATTAACGAGTCATTAACGTAAACCTACTTAGTTTTCACATGTTCACATACGCGGCTTCGGAGAGAAAATTCGGTTAACGGCCCACCACAAATTATACGGCAGGTATTCGCGTATTAAAAAAGTTCACACCACAATTAAAAGTCGATCAATTAAAAAGTCTGAACTTGGTTGCGGCACAAATCGCAAAAGTTGAAAGTGAAATCATTTATATCTAAACCGGTTGGGGCTGTATTGATTTTAAAGCCCTATAAAATTGTTGGGGGATCGGGAAGTCAGGGTGAATGCTCGCGGCGGCACGCCATACGCCGTCGACACAACAATGCTTGCCAAAAAGAAATACTGTATCTGTTTTAATGTTATGTGCTTTTCGTTAATTTTTCATATTTAAATTTTTTCAATTGCAGTGTACATGTGTACTCCTAAAACATGTGTATACCCCTAATTGCAGTATTTAGAATGGACCCAAGACTTTTTTGTATAAAGACTTTATTGAATAATCCTAGTTTAAGTCGTGGACATGAGTGCTATGTAACGCCATCTAGTAGTACTTATTAAGTACCTGATAGAGATATTTCTAATAAATTTTTTGCAAATGCGTACGCGTCATTCATAAAAAAAAAAGTCTAGACAAATGTAAACATACGGATGCAAACGTTTGTATTGGAGGGATATCAAAGCCAATACAAATATTCGTCGTTAACAAATTAAAGCGGTGATTTCATTATTCTTAAAATTATCTACAAAACTTGTGTTAACTACTATTATTGTATCATAAGTATTAGTATTACAGATACTAAGTTGCCTATCTAAAATGTCGTTCAAGAAACAGCATTACTACGACGTGAGTCATAGTTACATCACAGAATATCCAATAGCTTACGTTGTGGTTTCAAGCAAATAAATGTAACCTGTCTAACGTATTTTAGGACTATGACATAAACATACATGTTTAATTAATTGCTCACATGAATGATAAGATACATCCATCTTCAAAACATCAAACGTTCCAAGTTAGATTTAGGTATTCTATTTTTGATCAACTTTTTGTGATTTTGTGTCTAGGATATAAAATTAATTAAATAATTAGATATATGTAGCAATATAGTTTTTTTTAATCAATTATAAGCTATTTGTTGTTGTTTTTAACCGATTTTAAAAAAGGAGGAGGTCCTTTATTCAGGTGTATTTTTTATGTTTGTTACTTCTTAACTCTGTCATCTATAAACCGATTTAAAAAATTCTCTTATAGAAATTTTATCAAAATCTGTTCAGTAGCTTAGTTTTAAGTCAGAATAACTGATTTTGCCACGATTTAAGTTTTTGGTGGAACACAATCTTATGTAGCTAAACTAAAGATTGATTCTTTTGCTATAAATAAGAATAGATATAAGACATAATACCCTATAATATATATTCGTGTTGTGTCTGATGTCATTAAAAATTCCATGCGAAAGAAGTCGCGATATTATCCTAGTAAAAAATATTAGAAAATTAAATGACGTTCCATCTTATGGGCAATAAGCGTTTAATTTGATTGAGTTACATGAACACACGTGATACACATCACAGAATATACTGTGTTGTCATGACGCTAAATGACGGTGTTGTTAGATATGTCACTTGTATCAAAGATTGCGCTAATTATTTATCATTTAAATCTGCACGTACCTAACCATGCAGCCAGGAGAAAGGGATTATTAGCAATGAAGTTTGACATTCCTATTGCTAGCAATATTAGGTCGACATCCACGTGGTTCCCCTGGAAACTATCGTGAACAATTCTTTGTATTCGTCACGATGGGCTAACTGACCTGTTTCATCCTCATTTATCATCCTTCACTGGTGCCTCACCGGTGTATACCGATAGCACGGGTGGGGTTACCATTTCATTATCACCTATTAAAAATAACTATGTAGCTATTGCTAATTCAGGGAGCAAGACGCGAGGAGATGGTACTTATTCAGCTGTGCAAAGATAATCTCGTAATGTTATATAATGTATTTAAGAAGCTGAGGACAAATAAGTTTTTTCAGCAATAAAACATTATAGTTCTTATCTATAATATTATATCTATCAAATGTATTATTATTTTTATCGATACTTATTTTAATATTATTAAGTTTATAGTATTAACTTATCTCTTTATGCCGATATAATATTTTGCTCTTTGGAATGGGCATGTGTCGTATTTATTGTCTTTTGATAAACAACTCTTTGCAAATATTCATAATAATTAAGTATATGCATTCAATATAATTATTTAAAATTGACAAAACAAAAACGAAGTCGTATAATATGTAAACAACATCTGTGATATCATCTGCAAATAATCAATAAAATGTTTCCTTCTAATGCCTGCAGCCTTCGACGCATTTGAAGACGTCACAGCTAAGCGGATGTGTTTTGATACTTATTTTACATCTTCTAATTAGCCTATTACAGCCTTAATGTATATTATAGACTGTGTAACATGTAATAATAATTATTAAACTAACCATCCAGCATACAACGACGCGACGTCAAATCATCCTCTTCAAACTCCTCCAATCCAGACTTTTCTTTTGCCACATCCATAGTTATATGCCACAAGCACAATGCAAACAATGACACATCACTTAGACCACAACGTCACAGATATCAAAGGGTTCCAGCATCACGCGCGCCCGTGGGTAGGTACTCAGCTGATGCCGCTAATTTCACACGATGGTAAGGAAACGCGTTACCACAGTAGTCGTAAGCTAATAACTGGCTGTAATCAACCGGTCGGCCGCCGTACGTCGTCCGTTCAATGTCAGTATCGAATGGACAATCAATTATGCGACACAGCCACGGAAAGAGGAGCCGTGTGTCGCAACTTCGCGAGTCCGCCGCCAGTGTAGCCTCGCAATAGGGCCGCACATGCGTCCCTCCCGGTCCCAGTTTTGTTTTTAGGACGCATGCGCGTAGACCAGACGGCATGGACATGTCGATATCGACGCCCCTTAGCGACAAGCAGACGCCATGTCTCAGTGAATAAGATGAAACAATTCAATGGAAGGTTACTAATGACGTAGCTTCAGTAATATAACAGATAACAATGAGACGGGAAATTTTAGATCTATACTTATATTAATTATCGAATTAAATTATACTAGTTGGGTACATGATTTAATTATTTAAAACAAAAATGTTTGAAATATCCAATATTAATAATTTATTAAACACATCATTCATGGAAAAAAAAATCTCTGTTCCTGGGGCTCTACGTAATAACATACGAAGTTTTGGGCGTTCTGTACTATGAATTTTTTGAATGAAGTGGATACTGATTTTTTATTCTGTCTGACTGACATATTATTATTATTTGAGGTTTAATATGCTTTAACCTATCTTCTAAATCAATTTGAGAAAATTTATAATAAATTAATTTATAAAAAGCAATGCGAATGTCGATGATTGTCATTCGGATTCGACCATTCGTAAAGCTTAGTTATCTAGGTTGAGTATGAGAGTTTGCAATTTTTATTTATGATTTAAAAATGGAATGGTATGTTAGTACCCACATGCAGTATCGATATACACTGGCGGGCTTCCAGTGAGGGATGATAGATAAAAATGAAGTCAAGTCAGTTGACCCATTGTAGTGGATTCACTGAAGAATAACCATGATAGCTTTCAAGAAGGGCCGCATGGAGGTCGACCTGTTAGGGTGTGTTGCTAACAATTGGGACATTATTGTATATTTCTAACAATCCTTTACCACCAGAGTTACCAATTAGACATATAATCGAAATTATTAATTATATGTTGTAGTTGATGCCCATGTTAATTTAGGTAAAATTAATAATTTATCATGTTAATCCAGTATATCGATTATTTGTGTGTGTATCAAATTTTATTGAAATTCGTTCAGCGTTTTATAATGTATTAGGCGATTTTAAATTTAATAATTTTTTTTTTAACTAACAGTATTATATAAATTAATTTACAGCGAAAATATACTTACATAGTACAAAAAAATCAGTAAAATTGAGATATTTCTGTTTTGGAAATCTGTTAAAAGTTAAACTTACAACCAGCGTTAAGTTAGCTTAAAACGCCTACAATTCTTTTAATAGCAATTGTTACACATTGCAGTTAAAAAAATTGCAGGCGTTTTAAAGTTATTCGAACTACTAGGTGTGCAAGTACTATATTTATTAGAATAAAAAAGTTACCTTCATCTATTACACTTACGTACTTTCTAGTTTTAAAAATGTTTATATATTAAAAACCCTAATAAAATATATTAATTAACAAATTATTTTCTATATTTACTTACATCATAACATTCCTTTAAATTTTTACAATTCTACTTGTACTATATATTTATTTACTTAGTCCTCAAGCTGGAATACCCTGGGCACTTATTTTTTTTAACACAATTAGAATAAAATTTTTAAAATAAGTAAGTCCCTTGTACATATTTTAAGGCAAATTTACTACAATACATTAAAGTTTGATCATTTTATCATTAAACACCATTACTACTTGTACTAATTTATTAAACATACAATGAATTAGTACAAGATGTTCCTGATGTTGATGTTGATGATTGTTGTCTGTAGACGTAAGTTATTTTCGTTTAAATTTGTCTATTAAAATTTTTACAGACGAATTTTTAAATTTTCATGTATATTTGGTTCAATATTTAATTTTAGTTTACAAAGATATAACCACCCTAAATATAATATCATTCTAAAACGTGTAAAGATGTAAACGAGAATGATGTAAGTTTAAAACAGTGTTAAATCATTTGTCGTCCACAAATGAATAGTCGGATATCTATTTTTTATTATTATAAAGCCACAATATATTATAAACACGCAACAGTAACGTTTTGCATTTTAATCATTTTAAATACATAAATCTGTTTAACACTTATTCTTAAATAGATTGTATTTACTTGAATATTTATCGTGATATTAATCGTACCCGTTCCAAAAATAAATTTTGAATTAACTGTAAAATATATATTCTGAACTAGCTTTTCGCCTGTTACTTTACTAACGAATATATATTATTATTATTTATTTACTATATATTTATTTTTATAAGTTGGAAAACCTCATTGGTTTATGGTTTATAAAATAACAATCATAGATGACGTATCAAGCAAATATCAAATTTTAAGCTAGACCTTCAGGAACACAACTGCTAAAACCGCATCTAATTTGTTTCAGTAATTTTTGCGTGATGACGGTACAAAAATACAGATAGACAGACAGACAGACAGACAAATAGACAACATTTCTAAAAATTATTGTTATGATATTTCTTACTTTTAAGGCCCCTCATATTTTTTTTAATATCTCCTATGTAGATTGTAGTCCTAGTAGACAGACATTATCAGGTTACAATTTTTTTATATTCTTAAGAATTAAGGTATTATAAATGTTTATTTTAGAGTTCCGCTTTGCATATATAACTACTATGTTAACACCTAAGGCTAGCACTAACATATGACCGTGAGTGTATTCACAACATATCAAATTATCATTGACATAGTAAGTAAACATGTCTCATTTCAATACTGATGTCAAATTTAAATATAACTTTACGTACGCAGAACAAGTTTGATGATAGTTCACCAAATTGTCAATGATGTAATTTAATGATTGTTTTTTTTATAGTAAGTGTAGGTTTGATTAATTTTAGTAGGTATTAACATTACAGATTTACTATCCGTAGCTTCGCTAACGGGAATTATCATGAAAAATATCGTATTCTAATAGAATTCCTTCCGACGAATTGATGCGATGGGATTCGAACCTACATATCCCCTGCGAAAAGGGATTGTTAATAGGTAATGGGGATTTGAAGCCTCGTTAGTAATATATCCAATCAGGTGGACCTTTTCGCGTTACCCCTGAAATTCCGTTGGCATACATATATCGATTTTTTTATACGGTGAAAATGGAATGGTAACCACGTTTGCGCTATTGGTATACGTTGGTAAAGTTATTGATGCTGGTTTCCAGGAGGAACTACGTGGAGGTCGACCTAATAGTATATATTTTTAACAATAAGGCTGCTAGACTCCATTATTGATAATCGCTTTATCCCCGGCGTATACCCTTAGCGCGGGTAAGATCAGAAGATCTATCATGAAATATTTTCCGAAATTTCGGAGCCGAATGAAATACAAATTTGAAGTTAAAATACATACCTGTGTTTCGGTTTGAAGGGTGGTATATGGCGTGAATTTATTGGGTACAGAGGAATAACATCTGAGTTCTCAGGATGGCAACGCATGGGGGGTATCATGGGCGAAACAGTATACTCTGTTATGTCCATGGTACTGTTCATGTCTATAGGCGACGGTTACTACTTTCTATCAGGTGGGCCGTCAGCTCGTTTGCCATTTTAAGTTGTATAAAAAAAAACATAGTTACACATGAATATGAATAAATTGAGAACCCTATCTACTTTGGAAGTCGTTTAAAAATGATGAATAATTATGGTGATGTAAGGGATAAAGGAGTTTTAATATTCTACCACCTTTTCACCGGTGCCATGGAAAACTTATTGTATTATGAATAAGAATTGTTATAACCGGAATCTACTTGGAAGGTCACTTGCATAATTCTCTTCCATATAATGTGCTATGTGGTCACATTTGTCACCACAGCATTTATTACATTGAATTTAAATAGAAGAAAAACAATTGTAATAGATTTTATGTTATATAACAAGAAACAATTGCAGCTTGTTCTTACACTGCTTTCATGATAGTATAACCACCAGAAATTAAATAATAGTTCCAATATAACTATAATTAATTAATTACTTTCCGGTACTTACAAAATCGGATAAGATAAATCTATTTCAGATATAATTTAATCTGGATAATGTTAATTACACAACCAATCGGAACCGCCCATTAATCGCTTGAAAGTTCGCCAAAGTTGAACTATTTGTTACCTCCTACAAAGCTTCATTCACATTGAACAACAATAGTTGCATTATAATTCTGGCCGCCAGCGAAAGCACTTGCGCAAGTCGAATGTAAACGGCGATTAAAATAATTAATGGTTACACCTAATGACTTACATCACTGAGACTCCTTTGAGTTAGCCGGTGACAACAATACACCGTTTATTAAACTAGGCTCATTAATAAAATCGGCAATAAACGCAGCGCCGCTGTAATCTCTATTGTTCTTTAGTAATATGGGAGATTTTGGAAAAACTGCTATCATTGTTTACGCAAATCAAGTTAACATACTTATTTGAATCTTATTCATGAACTCGTTTTATGTGTTTAATGCGTTTTTTGATTGTAATTAATACAGTAAAATACCTAAATAAAAATAATATAATCTTATGTTAATCCTGGATAAAAAAATATCAATATCCATTCGTATTTTTGACGTAAAGCAATTATGTTCGCATGGCAATATTTCAGTATGAAGGATATGGTAATGAAATTACAAGATACAGAGGTATAACACCTTAGTTCTAAGGAATAGGAATGCAATGCGGAACAAAGTACGAGTATACTCTATTATGTCCATGGTACTGTCCATGTCTATAGACGACGATTATAACTTTCCTTTAACTAAGCCGTCAGTTTGTTTGCTACTCTAAGTTGTATAAAAATACTAAAAGATACTAGAAAACGAAAAATACCAAATAAAAATACAAAATACCTATTAATAATTGGCTCCAAACCAAAATAAAAAGTTGCAGGTATACTTAGGCTTTGGGAAATATGACATATACTAAGCTTTTCCTATAAATTATAATATCTCAATAAGTACGATTCTCAGTTCGGCTTTTCAAATGTTTTCTTCATTTAAATAGATGATGAATCGTCTTATCTAAAGATTAATTAACCTTGTTATAATTAGGTCGCTAAATAAGAT